TGCGGGCGAGCAGGAGTACGAGGAGTTTATTGAAGAGTATGAGGAGGAGATTCTCATACAGGAAGGAGCCCTGGAGCCACCAGCGATTGACTTTGCTGACACCACACCTGACCAAGGCAAGCCCCGGTGCATAACCTTATTTTGAATAAGCACTGAATATATATATGTGATGTACATTTACGTTACAGACATTTTATGGAAAATACATGCATAGATATACTTACCTATGAGTCCTACTAGCATAGGTTGAGTAGCTGCTATGCTTAGGATTTTCGGTAGCGTGAGTAACCTGCCGTTACTCACAATAGATGATTATTATTATCACTCTCATACTAAAATGGTGAAAGAAAAATGGAGACCGGGCAGTGATATGGTATGGGTATTGGTGGGTGTAAGAGGTTGTGTTCTGTAGCCAACGGGGCATAGCTTGGTTATACTGTTTTTTCCTATCCGTGTCGGTTAAGGACCGGCCGTTGCATTGGGTTCTAGGCAAATCACAAACTTATTATCTCGAGCACATACTTATTTATGGGAGCAGGGAAGGCTTGTTGCTCTCTTGTCATGGGTTTCGGCTCTTTTTCGGACCGACTGATTGGAGGCAGGGATGGTGGAGGTCTAAAAGGTCCTAATATGGCTAGAGGGGGTGAATAACCTATTTAAATATCTACAAACCAACTAGAGCAATTTAATTAGTATGACAAATAGCGAAAAGCAAACTTGCTCTAGCTCTACAAGGGTTGCAAGCCACTTATCCAACAATTCTAGATACTATAATTACTAGACACACAATTTACTAAGTCACTACTCACTAAGAGCTCTCACACTTGCTACACTAAAGAGCTCCACTTGATAAACTTAAGTTATAAAGCAAGCTCTCAATTCTAATTACATTAAAGAGCTTGCTATAACTAGTTTGCGGGAATGTAAATGAGTAAGTAAGGTGATTATACCGCCGCATAGAGGAGTGAACCAATCACAAGATGAATACTAACTCAATCACCGAGAGAATATCAAAGAGCAAGAGACAACCAATTTTCTCCTAAGGTTCACGTGCTTGCCAACACGTTACGTTCCCGTTGTGTCGACCAACACTTGGTGGTTCGATGGCTAAGAGGTGTTGCATGAACCTCATCCACACAATTGGACACCGAAAGAACTTACCCACAAGTGAGGTATCTCAATGACATGAGCAATCCACTAAGGTTACCTTTCGGCGCTCCGCCGGGGAAGGGACAAGTCCCCTCACAATCACCGGAGATGGCCACGAACAATCACTAACTCGTGTCAACCCTCCTCCGCTGCACCAAGCCATCAAGGTGGTGGCAACCACCAAGAGTAACAAGCGAATCCCACGGCGAAACACGGATACCAAGTGCCTCTAGATGCAATCACTCAAGCAATGCACTTGGATTCTCTCCCAATCTCATAAAGATGATGAATCAATGATGGAGATAAGTGGGAGGGCTTTGGCTAAACTCACAAGATTGCTATGTCAATGCAAATGGTTAGAAGTATGAGCTTGAGCCAGCCATGGGGCTTAAATAGAGAGCCCCCACGAATAGAGTCGTTGGCTCTCTGTTCACTGAAAAATCGGGGCGACCAGACGCGCCGGTTAGATCGACCGGACGCAGGACCCCAGCGTTCGGTCGCGCGATGCACGTCACGTGTCCCTTGCTTCAAATGTTGATCGCCCGATCTCAACGGTCATCGGTACATTTAAGTTGTGACCGGACGCGCTGCTCGAAGTGACCGGACGCACCAACACCAGCGTCCGATCGTTTCCAGTAAGGTTCCACTCGTGATCGGACGCGTCCGGTTATGCCTGACCGGACTCACCCAGCGTTCGGTCACTCATCGTCTACTCTGTGCGCCGCCACATCAGCACGACCAGACGCTGAACAGTGTTCAGCCAGAGTCCGGTCGCCTACGTCTGGTCAAGAGACCGAGGGCGGCCTTCACTATGCACCATTGACCGGACGCTGGGTTAGAGTCTGGTCACTGTGTGACCAGCGTCCGGTGCACTCTGTGAAACCCTGTCTTTTCTGTACAGGGCGTCGGTGGCACCGTCTTTTCTGTGCATGTGTGTTAGCATATTTTCACAAACATTTTCAAGGGTGTTAGCGCTCCACTAGATCCTAAATGCATATGCAATGAGTTAGAGCATCTAGTGGCACTTTGATAACCGTATTTCGATACGAATTTCACCCCTCTTAATAGTACGGCTATCAATCCTAAATGTGATCACACTCTCTAAGTGTCTCGATCACTAAACCGAAAAGCTCCTAACAATTTCACCTTTGCCTTGAGCCTTTTGTTTTTCTTTCTTCTTTTCCAAGTCCAAGCATTTGATCATCACCATTCTATCACTATTATCATGTCATGATCTTCATTTGCTTCATCACTTGGAGTAGTGCTAGCTATCTCATAATCACTTTGATAAACTAGATTAGCACTTAGGATTTTATCAATTCACCAAAACCAAGCTAGAACTTTCAAGGTCTAAGCACCACACTGAGTCCGGGACTCATGTGTGGGGCTTGGAGTCCAAGTTTGGACGGGAATCTGGACCCCTTGACAGGAGAGTGGTGGGTTGGTCCTGCTTGTGCCTAGGGTACAAACGGGCTGTGTGTTTTTCGGGGTATCCAGCTGGGCACATTGATTCGCAAATCACCGGATAATCCGGTACGGCTTGTCTACAGTCTAGCACCGTAGTAAAAACTGAAAGATGAAAGGTGGTAAAATAGAACTATTTGCTCAACCCTTACTTGAAAGTAGAACATGTGCCTACATAGAATGGTTAGATAATGAATTAATCATGATTGCTAATAATAAACATACATAAGGATGTACTACTAGTATTGCTTTTTGCAAAAAAGAAATCCAGCAACCCATAATGCTTATCATATCCTTTGGAGTCGAGAAATTATTCCCACTAGTCGGATAAATCTTGCCAGTATATTGTGTACTCAGGGTTTATTTACCCCTGTTGCAGGTGCATCTTGAAGAATAGCTGTTGTGTGGAGGATTTTTTTGGTGAGCATAGACGGATTCTTGTATTCTACCGTTAGATGTTTATTTTAATTCCGATGTTTAATTTCCGCACTCTGAATTTGGTATTGTAATAATGATTTTTTAATAACTCTGGTTGTATGAAATGGACTAAGTATTGTAAACTTGTTCTCATTATTGGATCCTGGAGAAAAAACGTGGATTATTCGAGTTCTCCCTTGGGGTGTGCTCGACGGGATTCGCCCGATGTAGCTTGCTTTTAAGGTGCTTAGTGTCTAGTGTAAGACGAGCGCCTCTAGAAATGTGTTATTTCGGACAGTTCTACCACACTATCACTACCCTTGAGCTTCCCTCCGCCCACGAGTCGTCACATTTGGCAGAGATGAGCACGACGATAAGCTCTTGCAATGGTAAGTGATTGCTTTCCCTTTTCTCCTCAATAGATATATTGGGTTAACATCTGCTCTATGATTCGAAATTATATGTTGTTTTTTGCTTTTCCAAATACATATTTTTTACTATATCTAGATATATAGCGAAGCTATGCAAGAAAACTAGAATGACTTATAAATCAAGCGAGTAGAAAAAAACCTCAGAAAAGCGAGAGAGTGCCTGTAGCTCCTCCAGTAAGCTGCTTCCATTGGGAACCAGGAGAAGCTGAAATCTCGGGTGGCATCCTACCGCTCCTCTGTTTTCCAAATCGGAGAACCTCAGGGGCCAAAATGCAAGATGTGAGTCCTCGGGAAACATTTTTATCCATGGGCGTCGTCGCGTCGAACAACAGAATACCAACTACAAGCCAAACCAAAACAGCCTTCCGCCGGATTGGAAACTACCCGATGCTACCAGCGCTACTAATCCAGCGTTTCCCACCGTAGGAATCTCTGATTAGCGCCTCAATTGACGACCCTTGTCTTGTTGCACAATTATATAAGCCACCATTTGAGAAGATAGGGGAGGTGGAGCAGCCAAGAACGCAAGGAGGGGAAGGGAAGGGAGAGAGGAAAAGATTAGGAAGGGGAGGGGGATAAACTGAGGGGAAGCCAAGAACCCCAGGAGGAATCAATCGGCAGGATTGCACCCCCGACTTCCTGGCCGAATTTTTCTAGCGATCGGATCGAAGCAGTCCCATTGCTGAAGACCCGATTCCGTTCGGTGGCCATGCGGTCGATTTCTCTGTTTGGTCTGTCAGGTAGGCTGGCGTGTGGCGTCTTGATCTATATATCCAAGTATTTTTGGTTTGGATTTCTGCAATTTCTCTAGTCGTGTTGGGCTCTGTTCAGTTATTTGTGGTTTTGTAGTAATAACTTGCTTTTGCTTGTCCCGATCGATAATATAAAGATCATATAAAGCTGTTCTTTGTGTTCGCCCAAAATCGGTGCTTCCTTTCTTGCGCTTACAGCTGCTGTGAAGTCCCTCCTTCAATCGAACTGGGGTTCGCCAGTCCGAATGTGATTTTTGGTTCATCTTCAATTTTGTTTGTTTCCAGAGTACTCACATATTTATGCGGTGAACCTCTACTGTCTTGATTTATGTGCAATGTGCAGTAGTAATAGTTTGTATTTCATGATACGGTTGCTCACCTACTATTTATGAGGCAGCAATAGAAGTTCTACAAGCTGACAGTTTCCTTTTATGAACTGAATGAAGTAATACTAGCTCATGCTATTAATAAGCTCAGCTGTATGGTGAAGTATGTAATGCTCTTCGATTTGCTTTCTGCAGGACTGTGATGGGCATGGTTCATCCCAGGTTTCTGGACCCTTGCTCAGGGTCCAAGTTGTGCTTCATCTCCAGTTGCCGCAGTAGCAGCGCAAAGATGATGATATGCTTTCTTCATAGGCGTCCGGAGTGTAGTTCTACCCTTCCTATATTGATTGAGTTCAGTAGATGATTCAGTTGGTATTCTGTGGGACTGAAATACGGATTCTGAAGGACACGAAAAGGACTTGAATAACTACATTTTAGGTGCTAATCCAAACTAGGTTGCGATGGGTTTACCCCAACCTTCGACAGTCGCGCCAACAACATTGCGCACCTCTATTTCTTGTCCTCCACATTTTAGAGGAGTTAGTGCCTGCGATTTGGATGGGCTTCCTGCGGGAAGGTCTAGCAGCAGGGTGCTTTCGTACCCATTGATAGGTGATTTTAATAGAAAGACCACATTAGATGGTCCGAATGAATCAAATGGGTATTCTAATGACAATCATGAATTTGAACATGCAGACCTCCGTGGACTAAATATTGATTCAAGGGATGGAAATTCTAGATCTTTTCCTAAATTGGTGCCTTCTGTCCACATGCCGGCAAGAAGGGTTGTGGGCTTTGATTCTGGTTGTGAAGGTTTTGATGGAACAGAAACGAATATGGTCGATTCATCTTTGGTCAACAGTAATTGCCATTTGCCATTTGATCAGCATGAACTCCAGGCAAGGAAAAGACTGCTCTCTCCATTGAAAAATGTGCTCCCTAAACAGTTCAATGGTGATATGCTCAATCTTTCTTCTGGTGATTCTAGATTTAGGCATTCTGATTCAGCCGATAAACTATACAGTACTGGCTCCCATGATAATAAAAAAGCCAACACAGGATGCCTCAATTCTTTTGAAACACGGGATACTCCAACCTCTAGGTGCTCCAGCTGGAGCCCAGAATGGGATGTTACTAGGAGCAATTCTAATTCATTCACTGATGGTCCTTTACTTGGGAGCAAGGATTCTGTATCCTATTATGATCATCTAGCAGCTAGTGCAAAATTAACACACTCTCCGCTTTCTCTGTCTCCTCTCAGCCCTAAATATATGAACAAAATTAAGGTGACAGGATCTCAAAGATCTATAATGAAAGATCTTGAGAATGACTTCCTAGATTTAAAGGAAACTGGAGGTTCTGACGGAGCTAGGATGCAGGATGTATCAAAAGGAACTAACTTGTTACATGATGAACTTGAAGTTATGACACCTAAATGGAGTTCATTGAGAAGATACAGAAATTGGGGCCCTGAATCTTCCCCTACATCTCCTCGAATTGGTTATGGTCGGAGTTTGTCTTTGCATGTAAGGAGGTCACTCGTTGGCTCCTTTGAGGAGTCCCTTTTATCTGGTCGATACTCGTATGGAAAAGACAGTCAGGTCTCTAATTTCTTGTCTACTTACTAAAATGTACAGGGCCCTTGATTGTTGAATTTGATTCCATTTCCTCTCTGAATGCAGACAATTGATGGTTTCTTAGCTGTTTTAAATGTCACTGGTGGTAGTTTCTTCCCCACAACTCAGAAACTTCCATTCTCAGTAACAAGCATCGATGAGGATAGCTCCTTATTGTACTATTCTTCTATTGATCTTGCCGGGAGGTTGCCTTCTAATAACAGCAAAAGCCCGAAGATCCAAAGAAGCTACAGTAATAATGATTCACGATCAGCAAAGAGTCGTTTACGCATCCCTGTTAAGGGTCGCATACAACTGGTACTAAACTGTTTCGGATCCCTAACATTAATATCGTTCTGACCTTTGACCAGTTCAGTTTTGGTGAAATCGTTGTTCTTTATTGTGCACTGGTTTATGCTTTTTTCCTCTATCTGAACTCGTTCATAATCAAATATCTGTACAAGTTACCTGGATCGACAAGGCCTGTTGACATCAGAAATTCCTTGACGATGGAGTTGTCTGCATTTGCTTTGATAGAATTGTTAACAGCTGAGATAAAGCACAATTAAAACCTCCCTTGCTGCATGAAATTTATACAGACAAGACCGCTGAGTTCTTGCATAATACTTAACATTTCTTTCTTTCTTTCTTTCTTTCTTTCTTTCTTTCTTTTCTTTTGAATAAATATCCTCCGCTCAGTGTTATGTCTATAGGTAATTTCTCAAAAGCGTCATTTAGTTTTCTTTGTACCTTACTGCATTACACAAATGGCATTTTAATTTCATCCCTTCCATTCTTTGCAACTTTACTTCGAATAATTTTGTTCATGTTTGAACATATGATCTTTTACATATATCTGCCTACTACTGGGATCTCTAGGCAACTTGGACAAATGATTGTTTGTTGTTTTTTGTTGTGGGAGAGTTCCTCACAGCAGTCAATAAAGGCGAAGATTTACATGATCTGATTTACACTTTCGCATCTGCCCATATTTTGGAGTTGTATACTGTCTCTGTACAATTGAAATAAAAAAAATGACTTTGACAGGTGGTTAGCAACCCAGAGAAGACTCCACTTCATACTTTCTTCTGCAACTATGACTTGAGTGACATGCCTTCTGGAACCAAGGTACAAGAATTACTAATATTTTTCATTTTTCATTATGTTTTATGACCTTAGACTAATATTTTTTATTGCATACTAAAAAGAACTGAATGTTCACCGAATGATCACCTGTTTACCTAATTTCCTGCTGACCCATATGTGAAATATGTAGGTACATCCTTTTTTTACTGGCTGAGCAAATTTCATTTATTGGGTTGTTCACTAGCCTCAACCCGTTTTGTATGGGCTTTAGTCTGGTGTTTATCATGTGTATAAGAGATTAGTATATGTTACAAAGTATTACACTATATTAGATCTGCCAAGTGATTTTCCCTTAACTAAGTACTTGAAAATAAGCCAATTTGGAAATTGGCAGTGCAGATAATCTATTGTTTACTGCGTGTTAGACATAATTTGCTTCTCCCCATTTCTCCTTGGTTGGAGACTGGTCGGCTCGGCCGACCACTCCTTGTTGGGAGTTGGGGACTGATCGGCTCTGCCGACCAGTTCCTGTAGCTGTAGCAGTATCGCAATAGGCCACCTCTAGTACATTAGTTTGTAGCTATTACATTAGCCATGTCTTGGTAATGGGCTGAGATAAGCTTTGTACTGCTAGGAGTAGTTGGTATACCCTGTACTTTAGGAGTAGGTAGTTGGTGTACTCTTGTACTCAGGAGTAGGTAGTTGGCCAACAACTATGTACATGTTAGCTCAGGAGTAGGTAGTTGGTCAACAACTATGTACCTGGTAGAGGTACAGCTAGAGTTGTATATATTCCATCCAAAGGGCAATGGAATATTCAGTTCAGTTGTCACAAACCAAAGGGCAAGGCTTCGGCCAACGCTGGTGCTTGTGCTGAGTGTGTGTGTGCGTTGTTCTCAATCTCTTCTACCTCTAGCCATAATAAGTGTGTGTGTTGGTAAGCTAGTTCCTTACCTATGCAGGGCAGCCAGGGACCAACAAGTGGTATCAGAGCCGTACAAGCGCCGTCGTCGGACTAACCGCTAGCGATGACGGACGGTTTGGAGATAGGCGACAGCAGCGGTGCTGCTGTAGCTGCCCAGCCATGACAGGAGGTCGTTGTGCGCACGGTGCGGGAGGTCAGCGGCACCAATTGGCCGACGCTGACTCGTACCAACTATGGCGAATGGGCGGTGACCATGAAGGTCAAGCTCAGAGCCCGACGGCTCTGGAATGCCATTGACAAAGGCACCGACAACGAAGAAGACGGCATGTCAGTGTTTGAAGCCATCCTCGCTGCCGTGCCAGCGGAGTACAGGGAGCCGTTGGGGGTGAAGAGCTCTGCTAAGGAGGCGTGGGAGGCCATTGCGGCGATGCGCGTCGGTTCCGACCGCGCAAAGAAGGCGACGGCCCAGCTGCTGAAACAGTAGTACACCAACCTCAAGTTCAAGGATGGTGAGGCGGTGGAGGATTTCTCCCTCCGCTTGCAAACGCTCATCAGCAAGCTGAGGAGCCACGGTGTCACCATCGACGAAGAAGAAGCAGTCTCCAAGTACCTCCACTCCGTGCCGGTGAAGTACATCCAGATTGCTCTCTGCATAGAGACGATGCTGGACTTGTCCACTCTCACCATTGAGGATGTGATAGGCCGTCTGCGGGCGGTGGATGAGCGTATGGAGCAGGCCACAGCAACGACGGACAACGGCAAGCTGCTGCTGACAGAGGAGTGGGCTGCCCGGATGAAGGAGAAGAAGTCTGGGGAAGCCTCCTCCAGCCGCGGTGGCGATGGCAAGCGCCGCGGCAAGGCTTCTTCGGAAAAGAAGAAGGTCGACCCCAACGTCTGCCGGCGCTGCGGGAAGACGTGCCATTGGGCAAAGGAGTGCCCAAATCGCAAGCAGGAGAAGAAGGCTGAGGCTCATCTGGCGCAGGCTGATGATGATGATGAGGCCACTCTCCTGATGATGACATTATGTGCACTGCACGACGTTGAGGCCAAGGAGAAGGGAGAGGTGATGGCGGTGGAAGGGCCTGGGAAGGCTCTGAAAGCTGTCAACCTCGACGAACCGCGCACCCAAGTCCACCACGGACGTGTGGGCGGCGAGCAGGAGCAGCGGTGGTGCCTGGACTGCGGCGCCAGCAACCACATGACGGGCTCCAAGGCAGCCTTCTCCGAGCTCGATGACGACGTGACCGGCACGTTGAAGTTCGGTGACGGCTCAAGGGTGGCGATCCGACGGCACGGCACCATCATCTTCAGGTGCTAGAACGGCGAGCACCGCGTGCTAACGGATGTATATTAAATCCCGCAGCTGCGTTCAAGCATCATCAGCATTGGCTAGCTAGATGAGCGCGGCAGCGAGTTACTGATCAAGGACGGCGTCCTCAGGATCAGGGACCGGGAGCAGCGGCTTCTTGCCAAGGTGAAGAGGTCTCGGAACCGGCTTGACCTCAAGGTGAAGCAGCCCATCTGCTTGGCTGCACGGCGCACGGAGGAGCCATGGCTGTGGCATGCCCGGTATGGACATCTCAGCTTTAACGCTCTTGGTCGGCTGGAGAAGATGGTGTCTGACTGTCTCACATTGAGCACGCAGTCGAGCTGTGTGACCGCTGCCTGGCCAGGAAGCAAAGAAGGATGCCGTTCCCAAAGACGGCGAAGTATCGAGCTGGTCCATGGTGACCTCTGCGGGCCGATCACGCCGGCGACGCCCGGCGGGCGTAAGTACTTCATCTTGCTGGTTGATGACTGCAGCCGGTACATGTGGCTGCAGCTTCTGACCAGCAAGACCGAGGCGGCGGAAGTGGTCAAGAAGTTCAAGGCGCGCGCGGAGGCGGAGAGCGGCAAGAAGCTGCGCGTGCTGCGGACTGATCGAGGCGGCGAATTCACTTCGGTGGAATTCGCTGTGTACAGCACGGATCAGGGCATGGTGCGACACCACACCGCGCTGTACTCGCCACAACAGAATGGCGTAGGGGAGCGATGGAACCAGACGGTGGTCGGCATGGCTAGATCCATGATGAAGGCTAAGAAGATGCCGACGGAGTTCTGGGGAGAGGCGGTGACCACGGCGGTGTTTATCTTCAACCGCGTGCCCACCAAGGCCCTGAAGGACAAGACGTCGTTCGAGGCTTGGCATGGACGCAAGCCGAATGTGTCCTTTCTCAGGACATTTGGCTGCGTCGGCCATGTGAAGAACACCAAGCCTCACCTCGACGAGCTGGAAGACAGGAGCAGGCTGGACAACATCGTCGGCAATGCAAGGGCCACAGGTCTGGCGAGTCGGCTGCTCAACGATCCAGAGGTACTCCTTGTTACCGTAGAGGAGCCACCACAGCGAAAGGAGCCACCGACGTTCGCTGTGGCTGAACGCGACGTCAATTGGCGACGGGCGATGTTGGAAGAGATGAAGGCCATCGAGGACAGTGGCACATGGGAGCTGGTAGATCCACCGGTGGGCTGTAGGCTGATCGGCTTCAAGTGGGTCTATAAGGTGGAGCGGGACGAGCGCGGCGCCTTTGTGAAGTACAAGGCTCGGCTCGTCGCCCGCGGCTTCGTATAGCGTGAGGGCATCGACTTCGAGGAAGTCTTTGCTCCGGTGGCACGAATGGAGTCCGTCACTTGCTGTTGGCCATGGCAGCAGCGAAGGATTGGCGCGTCCACCACCTCGACGTCAAGTTTGCGTTCCTGAACAGCGAGCTCGCGGAGACGGTCTTTGTCAAGCAACCTCCGGGCTTCGCCGTCAAGGGCGTTGAGCACATGGTGCTCAAGCTGCGCAAGGCGCTCTACAGGCTACGGCAGGCCCCTCGGGCGTGGAACGCCATGCTCGACGCCACCTTGGCCGAGCTTGGGTTCACTCGCTGCGCTACAGAGCACGCGCTCTACACACGGCAACGGGGGAAGGAGGAGCTCGTCATCGGCGTGTACGTGGATGACTTAATCGTTACCGGAGCATGAGCAGAGGACATCGACGGTTTCAAGTGCGATATGGCGGCTCGTTTCAAGATGAGCGATCTCAGCGCTTTCCTACTACCTCGGCATCGAGGTGAGGCAAGGGAAGCAGAGCATCTCCCTGGGTCAGCGCGCCTACGCGGAGAAGCTGCTAGAGCGCGGCGGCATGGCAGAGTGCAAGCCGTGCGCGACTCCGATGGAGGAGCGGCTGAAGCTGAGCAAGCACAGCATTGCTGCGAAGGTGGACGCGACGCGCTACCGGAGTATTGTCGACGGGCTGCGCTACCTCACTCATACCCGATCGGACATTGCGTTCGCGGTTGGGTACGTCAGCCATTTCTTGGAGGACCCGCGCGAAGATCACTGGTCGGCAGTGAAAAGGTTGCTGCGCTACGTCAAGGGGACGCTCGATCAAGCGATCATCTTCCCCAAGAGTGACGACAAGGGAGGGTTGCGACTCACGGTGTTCAGTGAGGCACCCCCAAGGCAAAGGAAGGTGAGCCGGAGCTCACTGTTTTCAGCGATGCGGACATGGCGGGCGACATTGATGGGCGACGAAGCACTTCCGGCGTGCTCGTCTTCTTTGGAGCGGCCCCCATTACTTGGCAGTCGCTGAAGCAATAGATCGTGGCGCTGTCGACGTGTGACGCGGAGTACGTCGCAGCGGCCACGGTGGCGTGCTAGGCTATCTGGCTGCGCCGGCTGCTGGGCGAGTTAACCGGCGAGGAAGCTCACCCGCCAACTCTGATGGTGGACAACCAGCCCGCCATCGCCCTCGCCAAGAACCCTGTCCTCCACGACCAGAGCAAGCACATCGACATCAAGTTCCACTTCCTCCGGGACTGCATCGATGGAGGGCAGATCGTCATTGAGTTTGTCGAGACCGGCAGAGAGCTCGCTGACATCCTCACCAAGTCACTCGGACGCCTGCGGTTCACGGGGCTGAGGAAGATGATTGGCATGGATGAGGTCAAGGCATCGGGCTAGCAGCAGGATTAGGGGAAGAATTGATAGACATATTCTGCTGCTCCCCATTTCTCCTTGGTTGGAGACTGGTCGGCTTGGCCGACCACTCCCTGTTGGGAGTTGGGGACTGATCGGCTCTGTTGACCAGTTCCTGTAACTGTAGCAGTATCGTAATAGGCCACCTCTAGTACATTAGTTGGTAGCTATTACATCAGCCATGTCTTAGTAGTGGGCTGAGATAAGCTTTGTACTGCTAGGAGTAGTTGGTATACTCTGTACTCAGGAGTAGGTAGTTGGCCAACAACTATGTACCTGGTAGCTCAGGAGTAGGTAGTTGGCCAACAACTATGTACCTGGTAGAGGTACAACTAGAGTTGTATATATTCCATCCAAAGGGCAATGGAATACTCAGTTCAGTTGCCACAAACCAAAGGGCAAGGCTTCGGCCAACACTGGTGCTTATGCTAAGTATGTGTGCGAGCTGTTCTCAATCTCTTCTTCTACCTCTAGTCATAGTGAGTGAGTGTGTGTGCTGGTAAGCTAGTTCCTTACTTGTGCAGGGCAGCCAGGGACCAACACTGCGTAGCTGAAAGTATTTGAGAGTTTTTAAGGCCTGGAATGGACATGCTTTGGCCTTCTCAGAGGGATCAAATGCTAGATTTTTCGACAGCTGCTTTATAAATCACAATGACTAGTTTTTGTTTTTGTTCCTATCATCCGTTCTCATCTTGTTTCCCTTGTTGTGTAACGAGACAGACTTTCATGCGGCAAAAGGTCACACTCTCCCCCTCTGTCTTGCACTCTAATCCAGTGGAAGAAGGAAGCAAGACTTGCAATGTTAATGTTGGGCCCAAGTCTTCTCAGTCAGTTTCATGTGGAAGTGAACCTAGTGAACGGGGAACTCTATGTTCTGAATGTAATCAGCTGATGGCCTAATACCAAATAATGGTCGAATCCAAACTGTTGGCTTGAGCCAGTGCTAATTTTTCTGTTTGTCTTTGTAGGCTGTGGCGGTGGACAGAACTGCAACTCAAATGACGAATCAGAAAAAGGAGATCCAAAAACAAGATGTCGATCATTGGATAGTGATTCTAATGAATCAAATAAGTCTAGTTCTCGTGGAAATAAGAAAGACCATTCTGATTCTGATGGTTGCTGCTGTCAAATGAATAAGTTTGGCATAGGAGAAAAGCAATCATGCTGCTCACCTTCTAAGATCAACGATAGTTCAGGTGGAGCTGTGCTTCGATATGCTTTGCACCTTCGATTTCTGTGCCCCTCCAAGAAATCCTCGAAATCAATGCTTCGGTGCAAATCTGATCCATCATCGGCACCACATAGCAACAATACAGTACCCGAGGAAGAGCGGAGGTTCTATCTCTACAATGATCTTAGAGTTGTATTTCCTCAAAGGCACTCAGATGCAGATGAAGGCGAGGTACACAAAACTTTCGATGTTGTTGAAGCTTTTACCTTCACATTTGTTCCTTCCATCATCAGTCAGAAATCGGGTCAGTTTACTTTAGGTGGTTGGACAAAATGCACATGTGCTTAATATGATATTCTGTTATTTACTGTAGCCTATAGTTGACGTTAGACCAGCTTTTTGGTCTTCCTTAGAATCATTTCGAAACGATTATTCAAGCTTGCTTTAATTGCCTCTCCGTGGCAATCGGACTATTCCTTGATTGTTTCGTGTTCTGTTAAATCCGTAGAATTTAATGTGACAGGTTTCATCTTTGTTGCAGATGCGAGTGGAGCATGACTTCCCCGCCGATCCCAAGTACTTTGACATAAGCAACTGATGGTCACTATGCTCCCATCCCATCTCATGTATAGCTTGCGCTGCTGCGCACAAAAAGAACATGTAAATATTTTACCATGACTAACTTGGTCACCAGCCATTTCATCTTTTCACCAGCAAAAATGTACAGGTTAACGTTCCAATAAAATGCATCATTTAGTTCTCTTTATTCTTTCCTCCTGATTTCGAAACCGTCGAGGGCTGTGTTGTCATGTTTCTAAACACTAGCTATCATTTGGCAAAACTGAAATGCTGAACTGATCAGAAATCATGTCATCCAACTGAGAATTCAGGCTTGTGACTACAGAGTTCCCTTTTGGCAACTGAAATGCTTCGGTGTTCGTAAATTATGTGATCCAACTCTGTGAATTCGGGCCTGCAATCACATAGTTCCCACTTGTCAACCGAAATGCTCTAGTGTTGAGAAAGCTATGCGATCTAGCTGTCAGGATTTGGGCCTGAACCTTCTGCTCTGGATGAATGCTGGAGTGGTGAAACTAGCATTCGACTCTGAAGGACAGGAGGAATTACAGAATCTTCCGAAGCTCTGAAAGTTACCATAAAATCTTCCGAAGCTCTGAAAGTTACCATAAAAATAAATACTGTGAAAAAATATCTCTAGAAGCTTTAAACATTATAGAATATGATTTTTTCAAGTGCAGACGTTTGAGATGCCAGCGACTGTTCGTCTCTCGTATCCCCTCGGAGTCGATCAGAGAATCCCACCACGAAATCGATTCCCAGAACCTAGAAACCCACAGAAATCCCACGCTGAAGCCATCCGAACCCAGCCTAATCCTACAAAAAACCAAAATCGAACCCTGTTTTGTACTAGGATCGATGGAATCAATAGGATTTCTGAGAACCTCGTACACCGCCTACAAATCTTGAAAGATAACTTAGCCATCCTGAAGAGCAAGTCTAATCCTGTCTTAGCTGCGATCTACAAGAAGCCACCAGACCCAGATCCCACCGTATCTATTACCTCCCGTAATGCCATAGTTAAAAGAAATCATGAAGAGCAGGAGGAAATTCCGGCCACGATGCTGCATGAGAAGATGGAGCTACAGGTATTTACATATAGTAATTTGGAGAACGAAGAAGCCAGTTACAGGATTTAGGAGAGATCCTTAAAAGGAGCAGTGTGTGGTGAGCATCCTCACCCAATTGTAGCCCAGCAAAAAAACCACCTCCACACCTTGCACTCAAGGTGTTCGACGTTTGGTCCAATGACGACAAATGGCAACCAAGGATCTGTCGCCCTTGCTGCTGTGAAGAAGACCTCCATCCTGGGAGATGTTCAGGGAAGCCACGCTGACGGCTACCAGAGGCGAGCTGGGAAGGAAGTCGCAGAGTCAAGCAAACATGAAGAAAACAACGCTCTGGTCATTGACATGACCAGGACACATGAGGCCTTGCGCCCCCGCTTCCTGGCGGTTGGCCTGGTCCTCTCGGTACTGCTGGTAAACTCAAGGCAGCTGATCGATCACATGAAGAGAGTATGGAAAATAAGGGGAGACATGGAAGCGAGTTCGATCGAGTCGGAGGCGGGCAAAAAATTTATCCTCGACTTCACCGAGGAAGGCGATTGGAGGCATGCCGTTCTAGGAGGCCCATAGCAGTACAAGGGGGATGCTCTCCTTGTGGAGGGGATAGCAGCCGGTGCCGATCCATCATCAACTCTCTTCACCCATGTGCCGATGTGGGTGCAGTTCAGGAAGATACCGTTCTACCTTCTTACAAAGAAGCTTGCAGCTCAACCACCTGTCCAGTCCGTGTTACACAAGGCGGTGGCAGAAGAGACCCTTGGGGTCGCGCGTGAGTGGGATGAGCGGTTTGCTGATTCGACAAGCTCGAGAACCAAAAGGAAATTCAAGTCTAAACACTGTAGGCCGTCCGACAATGTGCCAGTGGAGTTTTAGGCTCTGTTTCAGAGGAAGTCAGGAAAGTTCGTGCTGAGTTGCCTGCAATGTCTGAGGGTGAAACTGCTCGATTTGTCGCTGTTTGTCCTGGTAATAATCTGGAGCCGGAGCTTCGTGATATTGTGCAGCAAAATGCTGCGATCCTGAAAACTAATTTGGGTATCCTTGGTAAGCGCCGTGATGTGGAGATTAACGTGTTGAATCAAGACCTTAGTGCAAATTCTTTTGTCGATGAAGGTGTTAGTAAACGCAGTAAGAAGGATGATGGTGATCAGCTGTCTATCAAACTGATGGGTCCTCATGGCGAGGCCCGTCAGGAGCAATGAATCTCTTCAGCTGGAACTGCCGGGGGTTGGGACTCCCCTGGACAGTTCAAGAGCTTGTGGCTCTGGTGAGAGCAAAAAGTCCAATGTTGGTTTTCCTTTCCGAGACTCGTATGAAAGGTAGTCGTGTTGCAAATTTGAGATGAGAGGTTGGGTTTGAAACATTGCATTACTGTGGATAGTGTGGGTACAGGAGGTGGCTTAGCTCTCTTCTGGCATGAGTCTGTGGATGTCTCTCTGATCGAAAAACACCAGAGATATATAGATGTTCATGTCAAGGAAAACCCTTCGGCGGTCAGGATGCGCATCACGTTTGTATATGGTGAACCGCGTACTGATCAGCGACATGTTATGTGGGAGCTAATGCGGCGTTTACATGGCAGATCACCGGAGCCATGGCTGGCTATTGGTGACTTTAATGAGGCAACGTGGGGCTATGAACACTTCTTGGCGTGTCCTAGGCCGGAGCGACAGATGGTGGCCTTCCGTGACGTTCTGGCTGATTGTGGGCTCACGGACTTGGGGTTCTCTGGCCTCCCCTACACTTGCGACAACGGGCGTGATGGTGGTGACAATGTAAAGGTCAGATTGGACAGAGCAGTTGCGTGTTCTGTGTGGAGGGATCTATTTGCCAACACAGTGCTTTATCATCTAGTTTCTTCTCGGTCGGACCATTGTCCTCTTTTTCTGGAAATTCGAAAGGAAAGCTGGGAACGCCACAAACCAAGGATCTTCCGGTATGAAATTATGTGGGAACGTCTCGAGTCCCTTGCCGCAGAAATCAAGACAGCTTGGTGCACTGATCCGAGTAGAGAAGGCTTGGGGGGCGTGGTAGCTGCGTTGAAACACGTTCAAGTCGCTTTTGGTAGTGTTACTACAGAATTGGAGGAGCTGCGGGTGAAGTTGGAAGAGGCAAAATCTGATCCACTGTGCAGCTTGTCCGATATGCGTTCGGAAGGTCCCGGGTTCGAGTCGCGGTCTCCTCGTATTGCACAGGCGAGGGTAAGGCTTGCCACTGACACCCTTCCCCAGTCCCCGCACAGAGTGGGAGCTCTCTGCACTGGGTACGCCCTTTTTGTGCAGCTTGTCCGATATGCGTCGGATTACTGATCGTATGGATGAACTATTGTATAGAGAGGAGATGATGTGGTTACAACGTTCCCGGATTGCCTGGTTGAAAGAAGGTGACCAAAATACAAGCTATTTCCATAGACAGGCTATCTGGCGTGCACGCAAAAATAAAATAAAAAAGCTAAAGGACTCAAATGGAGATTGGCGTGACAATCCAAAGCAAATGCAGAAGATGGCGACTTAATTTTTCACTGATTTATATACGGCTGATTTGAGTGTGGAACCGGATGATCTCATACACCTTATTGAGCCGAAGATTTCTGCAGATATGAATGAGGATTTATGCCGAGCCTTCTCACCAGAGGAGATATCAGATGCTTTGTTTCAGATGGGGCCGCTCAAAGCCCCCGGGCCTGACGGTTTTCCAGCTCGGTTCTTCCAGAGGCATTGGGAGGTGGTTAAAGATGATGTGGTTGCAGCAGTACAGGGCTTCTTTCGGGATGGTTATTTGTCCCCTGGAGTCAATGACACATCTATTGTGCTTATTCCTAAAGGGTCAGACTCAGTGGAACTCAAAGACTTCAGGCCGATTAGTTTGTGCAACGTGATATATAAGGTGATCTCTAAGTGCTTGGTGAATCGGCTTAGACCCATATTGGACAGTATCATATCACTGGAGCAGAGTGCGTTTGTTCTAGGGAGGCTTATCACGGATAATGCTTTGATCGCTTTTGAATGCATTCATGCTATTCAGAGAGGCAGTGGCAAGAATTTTTGTGCGTATAAGCTGGATTTATCGAAGGCGTATGATCGGGTTGATTGGGGATTTTTAAAAAGGTTGTTGGAGAAGCTGGGCTTTCAGAGTCAGTGGGTGCAGTGGATCATGACTTGTGTTTTGACTATACGCTACTCAGTACGCTTCAATGGGGTGCCTTCGCACTCCTTCTCCCCATCACGTGGTCTACGACAAGGTGATCCGCTTTCACCATATTTGTTCTTGTTAGTTGCTGACGGTCTGTCTACCTTGTTGAAGCATAATGAAGGGCTCGGTGATATTGATGGTTTGAAAGTTTGTCAGAGGGCACCGAGTGTGTCTCATCTTTTATTTGTGGACGATAGCTTATTATTCTTCAAAGCAACTGTGGAGCAGGCCCATGTTGTCAAATTGGTGATTTCCACTTTTGAGAAGTGCTCTGGACAATTGCTAAGTCCTCACAAATGCTCACTGCTGGTAAATGAAAATCTGGATCAGGATGTCTCTGACCAAGTGCGTTCAGTTCTAGGAGTGGAGAGAGTTGATTTTGAGGCCAAGTATTTGGGCCTGCCAACTCCAAATGGTCGGGTTCAAAGAGGGCTGTTTCAACCTCGTGAGGAGCGGTTCCATAAGAGAATGGTTGCATGGAAGGAAAAATATTTATCTGCAGCAGGAAAGGAGGTGTTGATCAAATCGGTTGCTCAGGCTTTGTCAGTTTATATTATGAGTGTTTTTAAGCTTCCTCTGACCCTATGTGATGAGCTCATGAAGCAGATTCGTGCTTTCTGGTGGGGTGTTGAGAAGGGCCGAAGGAAGCTGCAATGGATTCCATGGGAGAAGTTGGTGCTGCCGAAGGGTTTTGGTGGTATGGGTTTCAAGGACCTTCGGCTGATGAATCAGGCGTTGCTTGCTCGACAGGCTTGGAGACTTGTGGCTTTTCATGATAGTCTCTGTGCAAGGGTGCTGAAAGCTAAATACTACCCTAACAGTAAACTGTTGGATCGGGCTCTGGCCGGTGATGCATCACAGACGTGGCGAGCTATTGAATATGGGTTGGAGCTGCTGAAGCAGGGCGTTATTCACCGGATTGGCGATGGAAAATCCACTCAGATTTGGCGGGATAACTGGCTGCCAAGAGGGTATGGCCTGAAGCCGATTGGTCCTAGGCGTTCTTGTCGGCTCCGATGGGTTCACCATCTCATCGATGACAGTGGATCTTGGGATGAAACAGCCATTCGAAGGTATTTTTTTTCCTTGTGATGTTGCTGAGATTTTTAAAATTAAGTTGCCTGAGCAGGAGACTGCGGATTTTGTGGCCTGGCATTACGAGAAAACGGGCATTTTTTCTGTTCGGAGTGCATACAGGCTAGCTGTCCGGAATTTCTATGGAGCTGGTAACGTTGGAAGCAGTTCCGATTCCGATCAGGCTGGGTGGAAGAAATTGTGGCAGGTTCATGTGCCATCCAAGGTTAGTGTTTTTGCTATGAAGGCCGCTAACAATGGACTGCCTACTCGTGTTAATAAGAAATATCGCCATCTTGAGCAACAGGATGTTTGTCAGCTATGTGGGCAACATGCTGAAGATGTTTACCATGCTTTGGTGGCTTGTCCGCATGCTTTGGCTCTGCGACAGGCTATGAGGGAGCACGGGGTGTTACCGTCAGAGCAGGATTTAGCCAAGGCTGATCCAGACTGGTTGATGATGCTGATACACAATAATTCTTTGGAGGTATTGACAAATCTCTTCATGCTCTTTTGGCATACTTGGAGTATACGAAATAAGGTGATCCACGAGGATATCTGTCCTTTTATAGCCAGCTCGGTCACCTTCCTAACCAGGTATATGACTTCCCTGACTAATATCCGACAACAAGGTGAATGTATGGATTCAAAAGGGAAGCGTTGTGCGGAGTTTGTTGCCGGTAATGTTAAGAGACAACCAGCAATTCAGAGGACAAAGTATTGGGTGCCACCACCGCAGGGTACCTTCAAGATTAATGTTGATGCTGCTTTTAATCAGTTATCTGGAGATGCTGCAGTGGGAGTCGTGATCTGAGATTGGAAGGGCTCTTTGAAACTAACTGCCTAGCGCATTTTATCTCATTGCAGAGATGCAGAGGAGGCTGAAGCTGTAGCATGCCTAGAGGGTGTTCACATGGCGATGAGATGGCCAGAAATTTCGATGATTCTAGACAAACGGTGGTCGCTAATTTTCATACCTAGGGTCATGATCGATCTGCTCTGTGGCAAGTTTTCACGAAGTTGCACGATGCTGGCAGTCAGTTGTGTCAGCTGGATGTCATCAAGATTAGTAGGGATCAGAATAATATGGCGCATGAGTTGGCGTGTTTTGCGTTTAGGTCTAGGAAGAGTCTGTTTTTTTTTGCTTGTTTTCCAGAGTGGGTTGTGTCCCTCTCTTGTAAGGATATTACTTAATTTTAAATAAAGTTATCTCTTTCGCAAAAAAAAACATATAGAATATTATTAGATTCTCTATAGTACATTTTATGGTGGGGACGCAATGGGCCAAGAAGGCTTCGAAGGCTTCGTGTCGTTCGTGGGCTGGCAAGCCGCTGTTTCGGAAAGGGATGCAGGAGAAGCCCATGTTGTGCACCGCCTAGCGGTGATGGTCTGCGATCTTGGGCCGGGCCGCAATGACTTGGGCTGGGCTATGACACACTCCAATGCACCAAATTACGTTACGTGCTGCGTGTCTAGTTCGGAAAAAATGCAACCAAATCCCCTATAGCAGATCCATTTGCGTTTGCAGGAAAAAAATTGCAACATTTGCTAAGACAGTCCCAACATTCTCAAACATTATTTTGTGTTTAATTAAATCTACTATCTACATAAAGGATCCTACGTGGACACACACACATATATCCTTTCACGGTTTCACCTGGAGATGGGAGAACATACGATCGAGTACGAGAGAGAGAGAGAGTCCAACGTTCTCAAAGGCATTCCGACAGATAGACACGTCTATCTGTTGTACTTCTTATTATATATATCTCCTGTATATGCAGGCTCCGACATTAGCTGCTGCTGTTGGCGACCATCGCACGTACGACTCGTGCGTCGGCCGGGGTTCGATCGGTTCTATAGAAGAGGATTGATCGGACGGCGACGCCGGCGACGATGACGATGGAGCTGGAGTCGCAGGTGGTGGTGGTGGAGACGACGACGACGAGGGCCGCCTCCGCCGCGCACGTGAGGACCACGGTGGCGCTCCGGCTGCTGGCGTTCGCGGCGTCGCTCGCCGCCGCCGTGGTCATAGCCACCAACAGGCAGGACCGCTGGGGCATCACCGTCACCTTCAAGATGTTCGCCGTCTGGGAGTACGTATATAGATTATTAGTTCATCGCTGTTACTTTCTTGCCATCGATGCATGGCAATTGTGGTAGGCAGACACTGACCGACCGGCGATTATCCATCGCGACGAACTACTGAAAACTTGTTCATCGCAGGGCGTTTGTGGCGATCAACTTCGCCTGCGCCGCCTACGCGCTGCTCACGGCGGTCTTCGTGAAGAGGCTCGTCAGCAAGCACTGGCTGCACCACATGGATCAGGTACGCATACGTATACGTATACGTATACGGTTACGTTGTCATTCTTCTGTTCATCCATGGCTGTCATCTAATCGAAGTATCGAACTGTACCCCTACCATCGCCTCCTCCGTCTCGATCGCTAGCTGACGCAGTGTGTGTGCTTGTTGGCTGCGCATGCAGTTCACGGTGAACCTGCAGGCGGCGTCGACGGCCGGCGCCGGGGCGGTGGGGTCGGTGGCCATGTGGGGGAACGAGCCCAGTGGGTGGTACGCCGTCTGCCGCCTCTACCGCCTCTACTGCGACAGGGGCGCCATCTCCCTCGCGCTCGCCTTCGTCGCCTTCGTCGCCCTCGGCGTCGCCTCCAGCCTCTCCCGCTTCCCCAGGGCACCCCCGCCGGCACCCAGATAATTAGCAGATACGTGTATATATACATATATACATACATGTTTGGTAGCCTAAGTAGTTTGTTAGAACTATATAGTGCAAGTGTGTACATATATTCGTCTCCAGACAGCATTGACATGTGTGTCCTAAAATATGCATGGCTAACACAATCAGAGATTCAAGATGGTAGTAACAAAACGGCCTGATATAATAAAACACTTCACTACAAAGTCACGCATCAGGCGCTCCATCGTAGCTAGTAAGACCACATGCATGGTAAATCAGTACTGTATGTAAGCTACATATTTCTGTTCTGATGATGGCAACAGCAAAAGGGACTGTATGTAAGCTACATATTTCTGTTCTGATGATGGCAACAGCAAAAGGGAGGGGGTGTCGTCTCTTACAAGCAATACCGTGCAATCTCTGGAGTTGACTGCCCAATGGCCACAATTGCTTCAGCGCAAAACTTGGTTCAACACTGCGTATCGATTCCGCGATAGCATCCGTAACACCTCCATTGCTATTGCACGTAACGCAGGCACACGGCAAACTCGGTCTTCACAGGCCATATGGCTGGCTCATCCGCCGTAACCGGCGTTCAGCGCTTCGGTCGACTTGACGAACCGCCCTTTCACCCGCTTCCTCGTGTCCGCCCTCAGCTTCCTCGACTCGTACCGGATGTGCTTCTCATACCTACACACAGGAATGATGGACAAACATGTGATGAGTAAACTGTAACAGTCTGTTCTTAATACTGCGGAAGATCAAAGTTGCTGTCAGCAGCAGGAGGCAGGTAAGGGTCAAGATCAGTTTATCTATCCGTGCCTGCGGTTCTTCTTCTTTTCCCTGTACCGCTGCATCGCGCTGTCCCTGTTCTGCGCGAGCGTCTCGCTGTCGATCCTCACGGCGGGCCTCTCAGCTGCAGGGGCGGAGACCATTTGATCCCCGAAGGAGATCTCCCTGGTGAGTGCTCGTCCTGAAGTGGGTACATGGTTCCCGGAGGTTGTTGGTCCATCCATCGTCGAGGCACATGAGCTCACCTTCCGTTTGTTGCTCCCGGTGCTCACCTGATGAGGAGCAAAAATTCAGCTAATATCAGAAGCCAGCCATGCTGAAAATTCTACTGGACAGTGTCCCAGACAGAGAAATTATCTTTGAAAGGACTCAGATAGAGACTTGGTACTCCTGTAAGATGATGCAAAACCAAAAACACGTGGTGGGGCGTTGTGTGGCGATTTTTAGGTGACAAAATTGGCCTTTAATGTTTCATAAACAGACAAGATGCCTCCATGACTTGGTGGACCAGAGGATATGTTTGGTGGCCCATAACAATCCTGGTGAACAAAAACAGCTCGACGGGTTCATACCATATGGGACCATATTGAGTCCACTTCTATATGAATAGCCCTTTAGAAGATAAGATCTATATCCAATTATGAGCATGACTGCTTGAACGCATTCAACAGTAAGTATCAGCAAAAGCTGGGTTATGCTGTCGATTGGAGCAGCAAGTGGTGCATCAAGCTATCAAACATGTGGAGCATCTATATGTTCTGTAAACATACATGTGCTTTTAGAAGTTTTGCTAACTATTCAGGAAGCTGATTTTCAGTATTTTGTTGATCTTGAAGCTTTGATCAATTAGTTTTTTACCCAAGCAAAAATTTATCTTCAAAATACTGCCTAGATTCCTTAGCTCAAGCCAGAGGACTTCATCATAGAAGCTAGCTAGCTAAGTATTTCTTGATGGGCCAAAGTTGTAGTACAAGCTAGAGGATGATGCTCATCTATACGAATGGCATCTTTAATCAGAGAAGTATTTGGTCCCTTTGACTTTGCTCCTCTGCATTTAGTGCTAGTGATAGAAGAAAATATTTTTTTCCGAAAAGCGAAGAAAACAAGAAACTACGATACGTGTGAGATAAGTAATGCCTTCAGATACATGGCCATTAATCTTATTTTCTATCACATCACATGGGCTACAGATTAACAACACATAGCTGACGCTGTTACTACAGTGAACTTGCCCCATGTTCTGAATAGACACAGTTGCACACCAAGCAAGCATCCTTTAGGGTACGGAAAAAGGGGAGATAAGACTTACATTTTTCGATGACAACTGACAGATATTAGAGGACATGATATCTTCGGCAGTTGAGCAGTATCTTGAGTCATAAATATCTTCCAGATCTTTCGTTGTCCCCGAAGAAATTTCCTTAAGCATGTCACTATAACTCTTAATCATAAAGCCTCCATGGTTAGAACCATATCCAACTTCAAGAGCAGACTTCTCATCGTGATCCCTTGACCTTCCCAGATTGAAGTCCCATATCTGCCACACAAATAACAAGCAAGCAATGAACTTATTGCTGCTGCGGCTGATTTATAGGGCTAATTTGTTGTGAGAGAAAAACACTGTTCGATGACGAAAAAAAGTAGGCTGATTCTGGATTATAAACTCAAGCGAGCATAGCCATGCATCCTTGCTAAAGGAAACACATTTCTTCACCGGGTCAATTTGTGCATTCAATGACTCTAAACGAACAGGTCCGTGAAACTTTATCGCAACTACAAGCTCTCTGTGAAAAAACTGGACCATAAATGCGGAGAGCTGGAAGATCAATTTTATCTCAAGTTATTTACTGAAAGCTACTGTGAGCATGATCATTCTGTTCTCCTGGCTGAAAAAATCCTAGGAAAGGAGACAAAGAGCCATGAGAAGTTCACAACCACGGATTTCTCTACCTGGTCATCTGAAAAAGCACAGGCTTGTAAAAATTGATGGCCTTGGAACCGGCACCTATAAATCAATATGGAGCAAACCAATCATTTTGATCTACCCACTCACCCACCCGAGATCTTGATACAAATTTCTTGGTCTTATAGATATACAGTATGGCTAGGAAGTGCAGCCAATTTGTTTTTTACTGTTAGCTTTGTTAAACGAAGGGAATAATATATCACCACCATGTAATGTTAAATCATGTGCAAGGCCACCGAACTGAATAGAGAGAAAGATTTAGCAGGACAGTCAAAATTCAAATTGACTGGAAATAGATTGATTTTTATACAAGAAGTACTGATAAAAATGTTGGGTTTTTTTTTTCTCTTTTTAATTTTAATAACACAACGTTTGTTCATCTTGAAATTTACCTGGGTGGGCAGCACTGAGGGCGCAGCGCAATCCCAGAGCAGTTGTTCGTCGTCATCACCCACCCTGTCGGCGCCGCCTATGAGGTCAGCGCAGTTGGCCGACGCCATCATGAGCAGGGACGTGTACGGCAGAGGCACCTCCTGGACGGCGGGGGGCGGAGGCTGAGTCGGCAGCGCCGAGGGGAGCGCCATCTTGCCCGGCGGCAAGCGTCCGCCGGATGCCGCGGAGGTGCGGCGAGGCGTGCGCGGGCTCAGATCCGAGTGCGGGTGCGCGTGGGCCGTGTCCGCCTCGCGGCGCGCCATCTCGGCGAGCTGGTCGGACAGCGCCTGCCCCCTGAGCGGGCGCGCGCCGACGGCGTCGGGGGCGGGCACCCGTGGCGGGTCGCACGGCACGTAGAGGTCGCGCAGGTCCGGGTCCACCATCCCGAGCACGGAGTAGTCGAGCGCCGAGAGGAAGGGGTCGTCGTCGATGTCGCCGCCGTCCTTGTCCTCCGCGCGGCCGTGACCGTCGTCGCCCACGGCCGCGCGGCGGAGGTCGAGCCCCCATGACGCGGCGAGCTCGGCCGCCGAGGGGCAGCCCGAGAAGCCCTCGACCGGCACGCGCGCCGCCGCCGCGGCGGTGTCGCAGCCGGCGTCGCAGCAGTCGGCGCAGAGGAACGCCGAGTCGGCGCCCGGGACGGGGGAGACGCGCGCGGCGGCCGGGCGCGCGGCGCACCCGGCGCAGAGCGGCGCCCGCACGTGCTTCCGCGACAGCGCGTTGGCGGCGTGCACGTGGCGGTCGCACGCGACGCAGAGCCGCGCGGCGTCCGCGCGGCAGTGCAGCGCCGCCGCCGCCTCCCCGCAGTAGTCGCACGGGCACTGCTGCCCGCCCGCTCCTCCCCCTCCCCCGCCTCCCCCGTCGCTGACGCTCTTCATCTCCCACGCCGCCACCAACCTACCCGATGAACACACAGAGAGAGAAAGAGGGAGAGAGGACAAAGGCCGCGCGCACGTGGACCACGAGGCGCACGAAATCGAATCGCTGGGGCCGGAGCAGCCGACGCCGACGAATAAAAATGGCGAGAGGCGAAGAAGGCCAACGGAGGGTTTGCTTGCTCGCGACTTCGCAATATGCAGCAGCCAGCGGAGCCGGAGGTGGGGCCGCGGGGGCCGATCCGCCACGCGCCGCGGAACAGCGGACACCTCCCGCTGCCCACGTGTCAGCCGGACCGGAGGTGAGGTGGCGGGCCGGCCCCGGGCGGCAGCGGAGGTGGGGGCTGTCGGAAAATATCTCCGCCCCGGCTCGTCGCTGAGCTGGCGCGGCGGGAGTGAGGAGTGGGGACTGGGGAGTGGCTATGGCCGTTTCGTACTGCCGGGCTTCGTGGTGGGGCCCACTAGGTTATGGGCGATTGGGCCGGGCGGTGGATGGACGAATGGATCGGTGGTGACCCGAGTAGGATCAGCAGGTGTAGAAGGCGACCATGGTTAATTAACCTCCTCGGTCCTCTCAGATAGGAGTACTGAGCTGACAAGTGACAACAGAGACACTACTGTACACGTAGTATCAGGCATTGAGCGCTGCAATTTGACACAAGGCATTGCTCATTTGTCACGACTCAAGTGAAGTGATTTCACTTGTTTGTAATAAAAGAAAAGGTGAAGCGATTTCCATCCCACGCACATGCTTGACACAAACAACACCACCTTGTAGGAATAGGAGTACCATAACCCAACACGGATCGATCGGCCATCAAGAGAGACATGGAGCACCACGTATCAATATTTTAGAAACAGTGTAAAAGAGTTTTTGTCTTATAAAACTCTTTTTACTTTCAAGAAAATTTTATCATCTCACTCTTTATCAATACAGCACCACATCAGCATATTTAATGCCCATAAACTCTGATAAAACCCACACTAGCATTGACCTAAGAGCGGTGCTAATAATATAGTCTGTCGCTAGCAGTATAGACTAGCATCATTGCGGCTCATTTCGCAGCTCATCCATATAATGGTTGTCTCTTTACTATTAATACAAGACTCACTTTTTTCTCACATCAAGTTTTTTGGTTCTATAAATTTATAGCCCGCTTTTCTTCTCTTATTTCCACCTCAGCGTTCGGGCTTCTTCCAGCATGCTATTCAGCCTGTTCGGGAGGCCGTATCGTATCGTGGATTATTTACTGCTGGCTGGTTTGGTGTGAGAGAAAAACATTGTTCCCGGCTGAAAATTTACGATCGTTTACGAGCAAGCGAACAGGCTGAATTATGCTTGGTCTGATGACCGAGACAGAACTTTTCCAAGCTATTGTCTACTGGTCGGAGGTCCCATCAAATCGAACATTCGAATGCTAATTAGGATGACTAAATATATGCTAATTATAAAACTAATTGCACAGATGGAGACTAATCTATGAGATAAATCTATTAAGCCTAATTAATTCGTCATTAGCACTTGTTACTGTAGCACCACATTATTCAATTATGGGCTAATTAGGCTTAATAGATTCGTCTAGCAAATTAGTCTCCATATGTGCAATTCGTTTTGTAATTAGTCTATATTTAATACTTTAAATTAATGTCAAATATTCGATATGACATCAGTTTAGGAGAGGTTATCCAAACACCCCCGTAGACCTAATTTCGACGTTGACACATTCTTGTCAACTTTAATTAATCTCCTTTCCATCCGTGCCTCACCTCTCAACTGTTGATTACTAACTTCACTCAGCAGGCATGCTATGCTGCCTTTCACCTGCTGCAATGAAAAACCACAAAGATATCTCAGTCTATGAGCCTTTTGCATTACTGGCACGTTTTGTAAGATTCTAGATTCTCATATGTTTTGGTTCTAGATTTTTTTTTCAGAAACATTTCTATGATAAATGAAAAAATTCACTTTGTGAAGCCATTTTGTTAGCTTGTTGGAATTTTGAAACTACAATTAAAGTAAGAAGAAATCAGATTTTTAGGTGTTTCTCTAGACTAGTAAAATTGATAAATTGTTCAATGGTGAGAACCAGAACACCACGGTTCAACTGGATGACTCGTTTGATCACAGTAATAGACGCTTTGTGCGAAGGATTCAAAAATCGGAGGTCAGAGAAGCCTTGAAAATGATGAAAAGGGGCGAAGCGATGGGCCCTGATGGTACCCCAATCAAGATGTGGAGATGTCTCGGGGATATAGCTATATATTGGCTAACTAAAATGTTCAACAATATTTTTGATCAAACAAGATGTCTGGGGAGTGGAGAAAAAGTATATTGGTACCAATCTACGAGAACAAGGGAGATATCCAAAGTTGTACTAATTATCTGGGAATTAAGTTGATGAGTCACACTATGAAGCTATGTGAGAGTGTCATCGAACAGTGCCTACGAGGAACGACGCGGATATCAACAAACCAATTTAGTTTCATGCCCGGAAGATCAACCATAGGAATAATCTTCTTAATAAGACAAGTTATGAAGCGGTTTAGAAAGCAGAAGAAAGACCTCCACATAGTTTTCATTGACTTGGAGAAGCCTTGTGACAAGATACCAATAAATATTATGTGGTGGGCTTTGGACAAACATAAAGTCCCATCAAAGTACGTGACCCTTATCAAGGACATGTACAACAATGTTATGATTAGTGTTCAAACAAACGATGGTAACACAGATTACTTTTCGATTAAAATTGGACTTCATCAAGGGTCAGCCTTAAACCCGTATCTCTTTGCCTTGGTAATGGATGAGGTTATCAGAAACATTCAAGGGGATATCCTTTGGTGTATGTTGTTCACTGATGATGTAGTGTTAGTGGACGAAAGCCAGGTGGGAGTAAATAGAAAATTAGAGTTATGACGGCAGACCCTTGAGTTTAAAGGTTTTAGATTGAGCAGAACTAAAATCGAATACATGAGATGCGACTTTGATGGAGCTGCACAGGAGGAGGAAGATGTGAGTTTGGAAGGAAGTAGTGCCTAAGAAGGATACCTTTCGGTATCTGGGATCGATGCTACAGAAGGATGGAGATATTGATACAGACGTTAGCCATAGAATCAAAGCAGGGTGGATCAAGTGGCGACAAGCTTTTGACATTCTCTGTGACAAGAGGGTACCACAAAAGCTAAAAGGCAAGTTTTATAGAACGGCGATTAAACCGGCTATGTTGTATGGAGCAGAATGTTGGCCTACAAATATTTGACATGTTCAACAACTGAGTGTTGTAGAAATACGTATGTTGCGATGGATTTGTGGTCACATAAGAATGGACCGAGTTCCGAACGATGATATACGTGATCGCCTAGGGGTAGCACCAATTGAAGAAAAGTTTGTCAACAACATCGGTTGAGGTGGTTTAGTCATGTCCAAAGAAGACCTCCAGAGGCACCAGTGCATTGTGAAGTCCTAAGCCAAACTAATAATATGAGGAGAAGTAGAAGAAGACCAAAATTGATATGGGGGGAGGCAATAAAAAGAGATTTAAAAACTTAGGATATAGCTAGAGATCTATGTTTAAATAGAAGTGCTTGGCAAGTAGTTATTGAAGTGTCTGAATCGTGACTTATGGATTTTTTTGGGTTTTAACTATAATCTATCCAACTTACCCGGGACTAATAATTGTTGTTGTTCTCTAGACTAGTAAAAAAAAGTCAATCAGTTCCAATTGATTTCCCTTAAAATGTTTCTCTCTTTACGGCATTTTTTGCAACAGTTATAGTAAAACGTTTCTCTCTGCCGAATGCACCTTACATCTCATCGTATATGTTCCACGTGTAAAGCTTTTTCATCGTATATCCTTTTCTTGTCATCAATTCAAGAGAGAGATTGTAGAGGTATGTCTTTCATGCATCGAGGCACGCAAAAGAACCTAGCTCTTCTCCCTACGCTGGTTCAAAAGTTTTTTTTTTTTTGCGAGTAGGTTCAAAAGTTTTTTGACTTCTCTCCTTCACGTGACACCTCCAACTAGTAATTTGACTTCCTCCCAAAAAAGAGTAAGGTTATTCTAAGTCAAACTACTTTAAATTTAGCCAAATTTATTGTAGACGTATCAATAATTACGATATTCAAATAAATATATCAATAGATCATACAATTTCTCTGTTCTAAATTATAAGTTATAAATTATAAGATATTTTAGCTTTTCTAGATACATAACTTTTGTAATGCACTTAGATATACACTATGCCTAGATACATATATAGTAAAATTATTATATCTAGAAGGGTAAAGTGCATTTTTCAACCTTTAGCTTGCACGAGAGTTCAATTTTCAACCCTCAACTATAAAACCGGATATCAGACACCCTCCAATTGTTGAAATCGGACAAATTTAGCCCTTTACCTAGCTTCAAAGGTGGTTTTCTATTTTCAAAAAATAATAATAACTTGTTTTAATATCTAAAAATTAATAACTTATGTATTTTAAATAAAAAAAGAAATGAATAACATTTTTCCTAAAAATATTATCTAACGGTTGGTAATATATTTACAATTATTTGAAACTTATTTAATTTTGTTCCTATGGTTTTATTGCTTGTGGACTGATTTATGAGAAACATGAACAAATAAGATTCAAATGACTCCAAATAGATGACCAATGATTAAATGATTTTTAGGGAAGAAATGGTATTAGTTTCACATTTTTTATTTAAAATAAATAAGTTATGCATTTTCAGAGACTAAAACAAGTTTTATTATTTTTCATATTAGAAAACCACCTTTGGAACTAGCTAGATGATCAAATTTGTCCGAATTTGACAATTGGAGGGTGTCCAGTATCTGGTTTCATAATTAAGGGTTGAAAATCGTACTTTAGTGCAAGTTGAAGGTTGAAAATGCACATTACCCTATCTAGAAAAGTCAAACCATCTTGTAATTTAGAACAGAGGGATTCATACCTATTAGCATGGTGTCATAAAAGTTAATAATCTTGTCCATAATTTGGTGTG